GCGATATTTGAAAGTCACTTGCATATTTGCATTTAAATAAAATCGTAATTAATTATTTTAAGGAATAGACTAAGTTTTGGGTGAAATGCTAACAGTAATATACTGCTTGTGTCTAATATAAGAGCTTCCTTACATACACATGATTAGTTATAAATTATTCTTTATTCAATGTCATCGTATAAAAGAGATGTCGAAAATGATATCAATAAAGATTGGTACGTATTAAATCAAGTAATACGCTGGCGTATACTTGGGATGGCTCACATTCATTTGGCACGGATAACATGTAGCCACATGTTGCATTACTATGGTGACCATGCTTTTACAAATACATTCCTTACTACATTTCTTTCTACTTATATTTAAACTACACGTTCTTATGCTGTCTGGATATGTGGATTTAAAGGCTTATAATTTCGTTTATTAGTCTTATATAAACAAGTATAGAACACATTTTTTATACGGATTGCTAATTAGAATTAATTTTTATTAGATATTACAATAACAATTTTTTAATATAATAACAATGTTCTCTTTATAATGTATGTTTAAATAGCATTTGTTACCCTATTGTCACCTTAGTTCATGGCATCTAGTTCGAAAAGGTCGAGCCAGAGGTCTCTGCGAGTCAGTCCAATTTAATGTCCCTTGTACGGCGACACGCTGTCATCTCTCAATAATATTGACACGTATTACAACATACTCAAATATTATACAGAAAAATATATAAAAATAAATTTGCCTTATATTCAAATTATCCCAACAAATTTCTAACATAACCACGAAATTGTTCAAAGGCATTATTTTCTGATCAAACGCACATTCCGGAACCCTTTTAAACAATATTACCGCATTTACATACGTGTACAAAATGATAAATTCGGATATCCGGTTAACATCAAAATCAACAGACCCGCAGAAACCACTAATCAGAGTTCAGGAAAGTTTCCAAAAATAATTTCAGAGAATTAACTCGCATTCACAGTATATCGAAACGACATTTGTATTCTTTTATTCATAACAATTTATTAATTACGTGATTTAAATATATTGATATATTTAGATATCAATGTCTTCAGTATATTTAATTTAATTTTTTTTGTCTTTTACGATATTTTATTTAGATGTAAGTTATAAAAATATCGTCACGATTCATCTCAAACACACGTCTCATGCAAAGAGCAAAATCCGGCTTAAGAGTTACAATTTTCAACGCCGCATTTAATCACCCTGGAGTGGCGTTCACCTAATTTCCACTTGGAGGGAATAATTTATCCTCTTTGTCGCGGTTCTAATGGAATATTCAGTCTGGCATTAGCAATGTTAGGATGGGCACAGACGAGATATGTCACGCGGTCTTAATTACGACGAAGATGGCTTTTCAGTTGATAGGAAAAAAAACACGTTGTATTTCCTTGTTTTACAAGAGTCATATATGTTTGGTAGAAATTACATACGCGTAATTTTAATTCTCCTCATATTTTTTCTTTGCTTAATTTATGAATTAATGCTTCAGGCTTCAGCCTACAATTACTTTTGATTTTGAAAATATCTTAAACATAACTATGAAATGAAATATTTTCTTCTACTCTAAAAATATCTTTCATATAGTATTATTTACAATATCTATTTGAGTAATTTAATAATGATTTAATATAGTACTTCAGAAACAAACATACAATCTTCAACTGTACTTGTATGCACTCACCCTAACCGAATATTCGATGTTAGCAGTGTTATCCGATGCCAGTATTCATAATGTTGTAATAGAAAAGTTTGGGTCTGAATTTCTGTGGTTCGTTATTGGATTAGCTCTCCAATCTGCTGGTACGTGAAAGCCTCGACTTTAAAAGGATTTATTTTTGTTGGAATTAATATTTCAACTTGTTACTCGTACGGAATTCTTCATTATGAAGTGTTATACATTCGATTGATAACGAAAATTAATTTTCTCTATACGTTTTTGTATTTGAATATTCTTTTCAATTAGGTAGTTATATATTTTATCTAGATGTAGTTAAACAATGACTGTTTAAATTAGAGAAGATTAAAAGAAAAATGCCCCATCTTTTTAAAATGTTATCATGAGATTTCGCTTCTTATTTTAATAAGTACATTTTGATTGGATTTTATCAGTATAAAGGTATGATTATTTTTTTTTTTTTTTTTTTTTTTTAATTTATTTGGGACAACAAACATTTGTACATGTATGAAAATATATATTATATAATTTTATAACCTTAATAAATGCACAAACCACACCGTTATCCACTATTTACATTGAAAAAAAAAAGAAATAAAAGAGATATTACAATGAATAATTAAAAAAAAATAATAATAATAACAATATTAAATATATATATATATATATAAGAAATATAAATACACATACATAATTACACACATACTCACATATAAATATATAATTTGAATTTATTATTACATACTGTTAACTAATATTATTGTTTGCTTTTTCAGTAATGGCTTTAATTTTTTTTTTATATGCACCTATTGTTGACCCAAAAATGTCAACATTATAAAATTCAACATTGTACGTTTGGGTCATTTGGTACAATGGTGCTCGCTTGCCAGCATTAGTTTGACATTTTTTCAGTTTGAATAATTTAGGTGTTCGTGTGTTACGTAATGAAACTCGATTGGGTACTAAGAAATATATGTGGCTTAATAATTGAGGACTGTTTAGATTAGAGTTGCAGATATTGTATAAGGATATTGCACTCAACAGTTTTCTTCTCGATGCGAGACTCCCCAATTTATATCTATCAAGCAAATTAGAATATGACAGATAGGAATGTGTGAATTTGTAATGTAATGAACGCAAATACCGACGTTGCACATTTTCTATCTGGTCAACATATTTATTGTAAATGGGGTTCCAGATTTGTAATGCATATTCAAGTTGTGGTCTGATTAAACTGGAATACAGATATATGAGCGTAGACGGCTTTTTAAAATCCCTAGTTGATCTCATCACAAATCCGTACATTTTAAATGCGTTATTAACAATATTGTCAACATGCTTATCGAGATGAAGGTGCGAATCTATAATAATACCAAGGTCACGTACATGATTTACTCTATTTAATTGAGTCCCATTGAGATAGTATTCTTGCTTAACTATATTTTTATTTTTAGTTATTGTTATAGTGTTACATTTGGTCAAGTTGAGACGTAATTTATTCAGAACACAATATTCGCTAAGCCTGTTAAGATCGCTTTGTAAATCATGGCAGTCCGACAAATCCCGCACATTTAAGTATAATTTAAGATCATCCGCGTACAACAGGAACTTGCAATGTTTGAAGCATTGGTTTATGTCATTTATAAAGATTGTAAAAAGCAATGGCCCAAGTATAGATCCCTGTGGCACGCCGGCGGATGTAATAAAAGTATCAGACTCAAAGCCTCTAACTACGACTCTCTGAGACCTGTTGATAATGTACGAAGCAAACCACCTCAATAAATTACCTCTTACGCCGTTGAAGGCCAATTTCTTTAAAAGGATTTCATGGTCCACTTTGTCAAATGCTTTGCGAAAATCCGTGTACACAGCATCCACCTGCACCCTGTTGTCCATATTCTCAAACAAGTAAGTAGCATATAACAATAAATTAGTAGTAGTAGATTTCTGTTGTACAAATCCATGCTGCTCCTGTAAGATATCATTATGCACAAGAGGGTACAATTGGGCGTGTACTAATCGTTCGAAGACTTTCGCTAGCGTGGACAAAATCGATATCGGTCGATAATTTTCAATATTGTCTCTGTCTCCACTCTTGAAAACGGGTGTTATATGCGCCATCTTCCATAAATCAGGAAAAATACCTTCTTGCATACACTTGTTATAGATAATTGTAAGTGGAATGCATAGTGTATCCGCGGTAAGCTTTATGAACAAAGGCGGTAAGGAGTCAGGTCCAGCACCTTTATTTGAGTCTAGTGCCCTTAACACCCTGTAGACATCGTTTTCAGAAAAATATAAAGAGCATATATTGTTGTTACTAGAGTTGGTATCACCTACTGATGACTCCCATGTTTCTATATTAAGTGTAGATGGCTCATATACAGATTGAAAGAAATGCGCGAACATTTTACATATCATTTCAGGGTCGCTTGATGAATTACCCATATAGGTCATTGTTGTCGGTATTCCCGGTTTGATTTTAAGACTAGACATGTAATTCCAAAAGGATTTTATATTTTTAATTAAACTTTGTTCCGTAAATGATATGTAATTGTCAAAGCACTTTTTACTTTCCGTATCAAATCTGCTTCGATACATGGAGAAGAGTTCATAATCAGCAGTATTTTTATACTTTTTCCACTTTACCCACGCTTTATCTTTAGCCTTAAATATCCGTCGAAGACTTGGGGTAAACCAACATGGAGAATTACTGTTTTTTATTACGCTGACCGGTGTAAACAACTTTATAATTGAGAATAGTTTTTCATAAAATATATTTATAATTTCGTTAATAGAACCAATTAAAATGTCAGACCAATTTGCTTTATTAATAGCTTCATTAATATTTATGTAGTCAGCTTTTGCAAAACACAATTTGATTCGTGGTTGTCTTGGAATAGATATAAGTGCCGTAGTTATTTTGCTGAGAATATAGAAATATGGATGGTGCTGCACCAGTGGAGACAGAGGCGATGTAGGCGTCAGACAAGTACAATCAGTGTTCGATATGAACAAATCCAAAGTACGGTTTAAATTATTTTTGTAAATGTTATGTTGAGTGGCATTCAGTAAAGAGAGGATTTGCACAAGATATTTACCAGCATATACAGTATCATTTCTTATAGAAGGTAAACAAAGACCATTATTTACTTCCCACTCAAGGCTAGGTAGATTAAAATCTCCTATTAGAAAATGCTCAGTTACATTATCACACAACACTATGTCGCAAACTAAGTCGAGATATACGACGTAAGTATTCGAACATTGATTAGGTGGTATGTATACTGCGTTCACAATGCATTTCTTACCTCGGGACGCGCTCGGTACCTCAACAGAGACGCAATCGACAATAGGAGGCACGGGCCCCGGCAGCGCGCGGCGCACGGGCCGCAGCTCGCGGCGCACGGCCACTAACACGCCGCCGCCCTCCTCCCTACCCGTGGCGGTACGGTCCCGGTCGCATCGAAATACAATATACCTACTGTCTATAAATTCACTATCTGAAATACTAGGAATTAACCATGTTTCGGTTAATACGATAATATCATAAGAATAAGTTAAGATGTTCATATAAATGGTATTTAGTTTGGTTTTTATTCCACCACAATTTTGATAATAAAATGATAAATTACCTGTGAATTCGAATAATATTGCATATTGTGTATAAGATGTTGGTATTATATTCACATATTATGTTTAAGATATATCGTATTATGGGTGAATATATTTTAAGAACATTGTAAACATCAAAAAATAGTAGATACGTTATTTTGCAATTTAACGTGTTTGTGTAAAAAGATAACGTATCTTTGGAAGCTTGGTAAATCATTGTTATTAAACAATAATAATAGTAAAACGAAGTTATAGTATAAGAATATAACTTATTAGAATTAATCAGTAAATTGAATATGAATTTGTTATTCCCGCATCGAGAAATCAATCGTTTCATTACGTAACCACTATAGACTTTATTATGAAGTACAAAATATAGTGTATAGTAAATATAAATATCATACTTTATATAAGTGTTATATAAAGTATTTTTTTTCAATTTCATGTATTTGAAACTAATATTTAATACAAGATTCTGTAATTTTATATCCTGACATAATATTAGTATTCCATACGGAAGAACTGCCCACGTCCTACATCTATCAGACGATTGAAATATCCAATTTTATCGCACAACCTTATTTATTTGGCATTCTGTGGACCCCATTTATCCAGGTGTCCTTTTAAAGTACTCAATCCACGGGGGGTCTACAAAGCGTCACTGTCAATAGTGGTCCCTGCTGATTGAAATTCCATTATCATGGGCCCTCTGGTTAGAGTTGATATTTTTAAGGTACTTTCACATGTGATGGAACTAAAACTTATGCCTTAGTATATCTCGATCCATTGTTATAATTTTAAAGAATGTATATTTTGTATTACAAAAATACACTGTTTTTCAATTATGAAGTTGCTAGAGAGTAAATAAATTATTTCTGTCATAGTATAGCCACCTTGATATGAGAATACCTCGAAGGTTTTTCCGCTTCACCAATTCGGCTTTTGGCTTTGTATCGCGCGGATTTACCGACACCTTTTATGATGGTATAAGAATCGTCGGGTTTGATGTGGAATGAGCTTAGAAAGTTGCTTAGGAAATTGTTTGCCAATTTACAACAGCAGTTCATTTATATTTTACGCAAGGCTTTGATGTTGCGGTATTTACTTTGTATCGAATTGTTGTCCTTTTAGTGGAAATACCTTCATTTACCTTTAATTTATTAAAGTTACCGCTTAATTTGATATGAAAATATAAGTAATGGAATGAACATAAATATTGCAACGAGCGAGCCTCGGATGCTACTGGAAATGCGCAATTCCTACTTAACATTCATTGTTCCTCGGACGGAAAGAATTCTATTATATTGTAAGCGGTAAATAGAGCAATTGTTTTGAGCGGATTCAGAAGCTAGTCGTGTAATTTAAAAGCCTTAATGTCTCCAGTTGAGTGCTTTAGTATAACAGATTTTTTTAATGAATCAAAGCATTCAAAAGAATGTTATATATATCGTTTTATGTAATATATAACAATTAAAGTGGGGGACAATCAAAAGCAATAAAGGTTACCAGGCAAGTACAATATAAATCAAAGGTAGGGGATAGACAAAGGTGGAATTGTAAATGCGACCTTTTCCAATAATTTCACCCTCGCATCAATCAATTAACATCCCCTTTGTTTCTTTTGCTAAGCGTCATGAAAATATGTACTGTGTTCAAATTAAAATATTCAAGTTTATCCTCGTCTTTACGTCCAAAGAATATTTTGTTTTCATTTAAATATTGCCAATCAGACATACAGAAACCTCGAAATATTAATTATGTAATATTTTAAAATATCTCAGGATCTTTTCAATATTAAAAACGTTTTTTTTAATTTTTTCAGTTCAAGCCCCGGGCTGAACTCGAACTGAGATTTCATTTTCGGAATATAAATTTAAGATTTTCAACCTCATTACCCTCATCGGTGATTTAAAAAGGTCGGAATGAAACGGCTGCCCAATGGTATCGTACAGAGTAGCTATATCACAGACAGAATCAAATCAGTTTTCAGTTCCAAACCTTCAGAAAAATCCTTGGAATATTAAAAACATTAACGTGGAATATTTATTGTTTATCTCCTTTTGCTTTAGCCTAATTTTTTTTGCGTCGCGTTGAATTGTCTAGTTCTAACAAATATTTTTTCATCATTGTGTGTGCATCTGTCTTAAAGTACACTGTGCAATATTATAAGGTTCCCTTTTACCTGAGATGAATGTAATTTAGAGTGATTTCGAAAAAAGAAATTATCTTTCCCTTGTTCTTATAACTCTCATCGCACCTTAAAAAATACAATAATTTAGGGACTTTATGACGTGATTTATTCATGAACAGCATAATATTCTACATAAACAGACATTTTATAAGTATTTTAAGATAAAATGAATTTAATTTAATCAAGAATAGTAAAACGTTTTAATTAATATCCGCTTTATAGTCTATTTTCCTTTGAAAGTAATTTTGTTGAAATTATTGAATTCAGAAACTCCCCTCCATTATATTGCTACAGCTAAAGTTACATGACCGCTTTATTAAAACGAAAACAGAAATATCTGTGTAACTTTGAAAGTTAGGAATAAAATTAAATTTTGTTAGGGCGTACAGGTAGGCTTTCATCGATCTAAGATGTTGATGCCACCCCTCAGTAGGTGTATGAAGATAAGTTTACGAGTGCGACATAGGAATATGGACTTTATTACAATCATATACGTCACAGAAATAAATATAGTATCTTCGCAATACATTTGAAAACGAATGTAGTTTTGTTTTCTTTGATGCGTTGTATGTTAAAGACAAAATGTAAGAAGGACGATGTCCCATTCGCTTATACATACATACATATGTAAAAACCTAATCCCTTAAACTATTGTCTGACTTTTCATAAAACTGGATTTTAAAAAATATATAACATATAATTTTGATATTTTTGTTTTTTAAATAGTAAGAAATTGTAAGTATAGGGATGGTTTTCTTCGCTTTTTTTTTGCAAATATTTAAATTCTCGAATATCTCTCAATTCACTCGGGTGCATTTATACGTTGGAAGGAAAACATCAGGATCATACCGTTATTATAATTTTGGAATTTGTGAACAAATTGTACGGTCCACATCCCTAACAACAGAAGGGTCCGCAATATTCGCGATACATTTCCAACGAACAGCTTCTGTTATCATTTGTAGACAATAATATGTAAATAAAGTTGGAAACAGTACGAAAATTGTATTATAGTGGAATTATATATAAATACAATGTCAGTTCATAAAGATGACTTGGTATTTTTATAAGAGAAAAATACTTATAGTCAAACAAAGATTTACAAAAAAGGCTAAAAAGAAACGTTTTACTTATAAAAGAATTGTAAGTTAAAAAAATAGTTTTTATCCATGAAGATCTGTAAGGAACGCTTGATTCAATATTTTTTATGAAAATATGTAATAATAAAACATTACGCAACAAATATTACCCTTATTTTATTCTTTTACTTTACTCCAATTTTCCACGCGGATAAATAATATCAAACGCTGACAGACGACTGACGGACAGACCCCAAATGTATTTATGAGACCTTTCCGTTTGTTTTCGAAAATAACACAAAATAATATTTTTATTCTGATAACCGACTTCGACGAGACAGTGACGTACTTAGAGCAATTGTTTCGTTCAAAGTAATTGGTGGCTTTGAATTTTTTGAATTAATTCTCCCATATCTGAACACCACAGAGATGTATTAACGACTTGTTATTAAAATTATTATATACAGTATATTTGGAGTTACGATTTTAATAGTAAATTATTATGACGAAAAAAAAATCTTTGAATACTTAATCTGAAATTATAATACATATTTCATAAAGCTTGTTACAGAAAAAAATGTGTGAAATGTAAATTATGAATATGTATAATTTAAATGTACTTAAATATTTCATTGCCAAATTATATTTAAGATTATTATAAGTCAAGGTTGTATGAGAAAGTCAAGTGCTATGTAATATTAGTTTGGCTGAAGTAATTAAAATAGTTTTTATATTCCTGAAATGAGTGATTTGTTTTAGAGGTTCTTATTGTATGAAGTAATCCATCCAGCAGGTATCGCATCGACTCATCCGTAATGCCTTTTAGACAAACGATCCTTTTGAAAGGAAATCGCCGCGAAAGTGGCATTCAAAAAGAATAACAAAACGACATTTGGATGGAATAACGAAATTGCAAAACCATGAATGCTTAATGTTCATAGGGCGGCTGGGGGATTAATTTGACGGTGTGCAACCTCCCTGAGGGCTCGGATCCTATCGATTTCGTGACTCGATAGGATTAATGTCTTGCAGATTTATTGTGTTCCTTCTTACTTGTTATATTTTATTGCAGATATTTCTTGTTGGTTATATTTAAATCGTTCATTTGAAGTATCTATAAATTAAAGTTCTTTTAAATGAAGTCTTTGAGCTAAACTAGTGTATGTACTGAATGGTTATTCCTTACCATCAAAATCAATAGTGCTCGTTAACTTTCTTTCATAGGGTCTAGCCCCAATGAATGTGGTAACATTAGGTAGTATGGGTAATAAAGTCGAAATGAAAGGTAAATACGATGTGGGAGAGTTATAGATCGTCTTGTAGGGGCCATATGCAGGGGCCTAAGATCATTCTCTATTCCCTAAGGTGTGATAAGTACCTCCACATATCCAGGTCGTATTGTAAATTTATGCTAAACTTTAATATATTACATAGCTGTCTTAATGTGATTGTTTATTTAGTTTATTACCTGATTTAAAAACTTTCTCAGAACCTATTACAACAATATTTGAATTTGATTTTCCACAGAGCCCTTGTCAAATAAATTCTGAATAAACTCGATGC